TGGAACTGAAATTACAGACACAGAAATACATCGAAAGGAAAAAGGGATTATCATCAAATCACTGAGAGAGAGGATCAACACTTCTTTTATTATTTTGATGATATTTGACATTGAGATATATTGATTTATTAATGGTATTTATGTTTATTTAATTTTTTATATAGATTAACATTTTAAAAGGGTTGGTCAAATTGAACGGACTCCATTAGTTTGGAGGGTCAGTTAAAAATGAGCCAACAGAATGGGTAGTTTAAGGGAGCCAACCCCATTAGTTGCCACAAAGGCATCTCAACCACTTTTTGTATACATACAATTCATTATCAGATTTTCATATCTCCATCAATATGAGATAAAAAAATACTGAACCACAATTCAGTTAACGAAGATTACTCAACCATTTAGGTGCAACATCAATCTTGTGTTTGTTTACTTTTATACTTTAATTTGTTTTTAACTTTGTGTTTTGCATGATATTTTAACTGTGTTTCTCACTTTAATTTAACCATTTGGTTGGTTTTGATTCCACCTATGGTTATGGATTTCAATGCATCCATCACTTCTTTATATATCGTTCATCTTCTTCCAAATTATCATCTTTCCACCAATGTGGGATGATGAAACTCAATCTTATTTCAAGATGATTGATATTTTTGTGAAATGAATAATTTGTTTTCAACTTTGTATTTTGCATGATATTTTAACTGAATGTTTTGGACTATAGTTTTTACCATTTGGTTAGTTTTGATTTCAACAATGGTTATAGATTTTTCAAAGCATCCATTACTCTTTTATATATCCATCATATTCTTCCAAACTATCATTTTTTCTACCAATGTAAGATGATGAAAGTCAACTTTATTTCAAGATTTGAGGAACACTAAAATCTCTTATTGTCATGTCATCATAATTGGTTTCACTTTTAATTTTGCACTATAATTTTTACCCTTTGGTTGATTTTAATACCAACTATGGCTATTGATTTCAAATAGGATCATCTAAAATAAGACAACCCTATGCATCAAACCTCATGAATTGGCACACATTAGTTTCATTAAATCTTTCATCTTCTTACCAATGTGGGACAACTAAAACTAAACCACAATTTATAGTTTGAGAATACTTCTAATCCACCTTTCTTATACACACCACTTTATTTAAATCTTTCAACTTCTAACCAATGTGGGACAACAAGAACTCAATCACAATTCACCATTTAGAAATATTTAATTATCATGATGTCACATCAATATCCCAAAGGTTTTCTTTTATGTATATAAAGATATAAATATATTCATAATATTTATGATTGTAACCACAATTCATTTTTATTTTTATATAATAAGATTTGTTTTGCAAAAATAGTATCATCCAAATAAGATAAAATTATGAGTCAAGCTTCTTGAGTTGACATAATGAATTTCATTCTTCTTTCTTGTACACATCTCCTCATTTCAATTTTTCAATCTCTCACCGATATGAAATATCTCAAACTCAACTATAATTCACCAACACCTCATTACTCAATTATCATGATGTCATCTCAATACCTCTTGGTTCTTCTTTAAATATATATATATATATATATATATATATTATTTTTATATAATAAGATTTATTTTACAAAAATAGGGTCATCCAAATAACATGATCATATAGGTCAAGCCTCATAAGTTGAAACAAAGAATCTCATTCTTATTTCTATACACATCTCATTTCTAATATTTTAACGTCTCACCAATGTCGGATATTTTAAACTCAACCATAATTCATCAAAACCTAAATACTCAAGATTTGTTTTGCAAAAATAGGGTCATCCAAATAAGATAACCTTATGAGTCAAGCCTTTTGAGTTAACACAATGAATCTCATCTTCTTTCTTATACACACATCCTTATCCCAATCTTTCAACTTCTCGTCAATGTGGGATATCTCAAACTCAACCACAATTCACCAACACCTCAATACTCAATTCTCATGGTGCCACCTTAATACTCTTGGTTCTTTCTTTAATATATATATATATATATATAGAGAGAGAGAGAGAGAGAGAGAGAGATTTCTATGATTTCTTACCATTGTTTGATGTACATTTGTCATATTATATTTGATTCATGACTTTTGTAAAACATTAAAGACTATTTTGTTGAAATCTATTGTGTATCTGAAATCCTATATTCCCATATTTTGATCACCTTAAGGATTGATTTTTTTTAATGGGGTTTAATTTGATTACATTTTGGGAGATTGATTTACAAATTACGTTGATAAATGCATAATTGTTTAAATTTGTTAACTTTATGAGATTCGACAATTTAGTTTTTTGGTTGAAAAATTGTTAGATGTTCAAATGGTTTGAGCTTTTGCCATATTTATATTGTTAAAAATTTGAAAACTGGACGCTAAAATGCATAATGCTTGAAATCACATGTTGTTGGCATGTTTCATCATCCAAACATCGGGTAATGTAATTTAGTCTGTAATGCATTAGATATATAGGCGTATGGGTTAGTTTTTAACCAATTGTAGCTAGAGAGTAATATCAAGTCATCGAGGCATTATGGTACAGACTTGTGTAAAGTCATACATTGGCCACTGACTCAAAAGGTGAAACCTTCTGATGAATTAGTATGTTCCAGGATCATTAGAGTCGTGTGCCAGAAATTCGCATCAAGACAAATATGGATAACCATTTGATCTGCAGTGAAACTCAAACAATGACATGTTGCCTACTTTTGTGTTCCGCCACAGTTAACAGAAACATATATTTCTTGTCATTTGAAAGATGTTAATTGGAAATTTAAATATGGTATATTTGGAAAAGAGTTGTTCATGATGTAACACATTCAATGGGGAAAATATATGTTTTTGTACATTCATTTATCTTTTCGTTTCATATTTCTCACATAAACTTCTTGAATTCACTAGACGTGAAGCCTAACACATTTTCTTGTCGACATGTATAACAAATCATAAGGAGACCTGATTTGGATGAGAGCTTGTTAGATGTTTATGGAGGATGGCCGTTGAGAATCATCGATTTTGGAATATAGCAATTTTGATATTTATTTATATTATTCCAGTTTTGTTTCGAAGTATCATAAATGTTTCTCATGATAATCACTGTAGTACACGATTTTCAATATCATGTACCGATCAAATTTATAAATACCATACCAACCACTTTAGTTGGTACCAATTAAATTGATAGTCTAGGGGTGAGCATAGGCGGGTACCCGTCCCATTTGACAGGAACTGACGGTTCTTGAGATATTGGAACCGGAATCGGAACCGCCTAGTGCGGTTCTTGAATTTTTGGAACCTGTTCCGGGTACCCGCTTCCTAAAATATTAAAATTTTGTTATTTAGAAATAAAAGATAAAAAATTGCCAAAACACTAAATAAATAAACAAGAATACAAATTATACAGAATAATGGTTACAAATATTGTTTAACGATTACAAACCATAATAGACTAATAGTAAATGTTGAAAGTTTAACGATTACATATTATAATTGTAAATGTTGAAAGTTTAACGATTACATACTACGAATCCAATTGAACACACAATTTGAAAAAATACGAATCATTTTATCTCAAATTCTGAACCTAGAGTTATAAGTTCTTGACCTAATTTAAATTTAGTATTAAAAAATTATTATTTTTTATTGAAAAATATTGGGTACTCGGAACTGGTCCCGATGGGTAACGGTTCCGAAAAATTGAGAACCGGAACCATTCTCAATCAGTTCCGTATTTTAGGAACCGGAACCACTCGAATAGATTCTGGTTCTGAAACCGGCAGTTCCAAGGCAGTTCCGGTTCTGCATTTGGATACCCGGTTCCTCTTGTCAATCCTAATTGATATGGTTGATGATACAAATGAGTAGAGCAAGCGCATTTTGTAAAAATCGTGTAGCACACAAAAGGAAAAAAGAAATATTAAATTAGTGGTTTAACATATATTTCTCTGGTATTCTTCTTTTTGTTGTATCTTCCGTTTCGTCGGTTAGCGTTTCCTGAAGGAGGTTTCTAATCTCTGCTTCGAAGAATCTCGAATCAATTTTCCTCCTTCGGGACCTTCTGGATTTCTCTAATGGCTTCTGATCATTTCACCGACAAAACCACCGTTTTCAGGAAGCTCAAAGCCAAATCGGAGAATAAGGTTTCAGAATTTCTTTTAAATTTAGATGTCTTTTTCCATCTCTATGATTTGTTCGTGGACATTTTTGTTTGATATTTTTGTGTGTTTAATCGTATCAGATGTGTTTTGATTGTAACGCCAAGAATCCAACATGGGCGTCGGTAACCTACGGGGTCTTCTTGTGTCTAGATTGTTCCGCCACGCATCGTAGTCTCGGTGTTCATATCAGTTTCGTTAGGTGATGTTTATTTATTTCCATGTTTTTGATATTTGTACGGTACGGCTATGTGATACATTGATGATCAGGCTGTAGAACGAACTAAGGTTGGCGTAAATCTGATTTGGTTGAAGTAAAAATTTGTTGTACGATGACAAATGTTTTAATTGAATGATCAATGTGTAAGCTGGACTAATTTAAATCCATGATAGTGTATGAAGATGAAGTACGTTTGGCAAATTCGAAATTCAAAGTTGTTTTAAGATAACCAAAAGTTGAGAACAGAGAACGTTGGCTTTTGTGATGCTAAAGTGATGGTAATTAGGAAAGGTCTATTGTTTTCTGTTGCAATTATCCCCCCTTAATTGCCATAGAAACGAGAGTTTGGCTATTTTTCTGGGAAATGATAAATTTACCTAGGGTTCATGCCTTGATATATGTGGTTGAATGCTGATAATTGGTACAATTGTCATACGGATGAACTAGTTGAATGCATGATTTTAGCCTAAGTACTTCATTCTCTCCATGTTCACAGATTGCCTGATTTTTACACATTATGGTTCTTAACTTTCACTAAATAAGAGTTTTTTTTATTAACCTAGATATTCAACCCGCTATGCGAGCCGACTAATCCCAGGGCGACAAGCGGGCAGCCTGGAGTCATTGCATTTGAACCTCCATGGCCACAAGGGGATTTTTTATTCCTCCTTGGATTCGGACATGGGACCTCCAGACACTTTTGATCTTTGGAGCTCAAGCTTAAATCAATCGGGCACCACCCTTGTGGTTTACTAAATAAGAGTGGAGTTTATATCTTAGTAGTTCATACTCTTGTCTGTTCCAAACAACTGGTTGGTTTTGACTGTTGATGATAAATACATTGATAGCCATATTGAACTGGACATATGCTTTGAAAATGTGAAAAATGGTGTAAAGACGTGAAAGTATTTGTTCTAGTTTTGGATGAGAAATTTGACATGTAAAAGTCAAACTAGGACACCCATTATGTTATGTAGGGAGTTTTGCATGTTAATTTTGGTAGGTATCATTTCTTCTTTACCTGAATCTTTTTTAACCTTCGTAGGTCAACCAATTTAGATTCATGGTCTCCAGAACAACTAAAAATGATGTGGTTGGGGGGAAATAATCGTGCTCAGGTCTTCTTCAAGCAGCACGGGTGGAATGATGGAGGGAGAATTGATGCCAAGTACACCTCAAGGGCAGCTCAGTTATATAAACACTTACTTGCAAAAGAAGTTGCAAGACTTTCTGCAGAAGCTAGCTTGCCATTGTCACCTGCTTCTCCTAAGTCAGCAGAAGCTGCCATCGGATCTCCTAACGTCACTCTCAGTGAAACCCCCAAAGAGAGCTCATCAGCAAAGCATGACACCAATGTCTCTGCTCCAGTGAGAGCTCCTCCTAAAATTCTTACAAGCTCTATCAAGAAACCTGTTGGTGCTAAAAAAACTGGGAAGACTGGGGGGCTTGGTGCAAGAAAGCTTAGTACCAAGGTAGATGCTTTTCTGTTATCTCACTTATCTTTGTTAATCCTGATTGACGTTGTAAGGTGTTAATGTATTTTTTTTCTTATAAATCTTATTATGCACGCTATTTCAGCATTTATTAGTCTTCTTCGTACATTTTGTGCACATTAATCATTTAGAGTTCATCACTTATTTGTAGACAAATGAAAGCTTGTACGACCAGAAGCCCGAAGAACCAGTTGCACAAGTGTCCACCTCAGCAAGTAGTACACCGTCGACCGCAACAACACCTTATAGCTCCCGTTTTGAGTATGTAGATAATTTCCATGATGCAGAGACAGGTCCTCGAGGCATGAATTCAATCAGTCATGCTGTGCCACCTAAGTCATCCAGTTTCTTTGCAGATTATGGAATGGACAGTGGTTTTATGAGAAAAAGTAGCTCAATGAAAGTACAGGTACACAAATTCTTCTACATGTTTGCATTAAGTGCGAGTAAAATGATCTGGTGTGAATATTAAAGATCCCTATGGTTGTAATAATATCTAGTTGATTGAACATCATTGTAGCGCCTAGAGGCTTTGAATCCAGTTCCCTAAGTCCCTGGATCACTTGGTTCAATTAGCTGAAGCAAACTTCTATATATCATATGCCCAAAATACTATGTTCATCTGGTGAATATTGACACACTTCTAGTACATAAATATTTTTTGGAAGTTGGAGATGACACAATATAGACTGGTGGTTATATAGGAGATGGTGATAGAAACTGCCTTATCGTACGCCATTCATCATATGAACTATTTATTGCTCAGGGTGTGTTTGATATGCGGACGAGATTGGACAGAATTGGATACAACTGAACAGGACAAGACTGGAGAGATGACAGTGAGGTTGGCGGGTGAAAGAATTAAAGAGCGTTGTAGGGTTTAATTTGACATTGGTAGTTCTGTAGTTTATCAATCTTTTCCCATCTCTCAGATCTTTCTTCCACCTATTTTGGGGGACCAAAAAATGCATTTTTGTCCCAGTCCCGTCCTGTCCCAGTCCAATGTTGCACTAAATGTGAGACAACAACCCTTTGTTCAGTCTTGTCCCGTCCTGTCCGATGTACCAAACGCACCCGTAATGAACATCCACATATCTTATAGGGGTGCCACCCACTTAAAGTATAACATCATTTCCTACATTTCTAGATTACCCCAAATTGTAATCATATTTTCTGCCTTCCCCATGCTTGCCTTTAGGTGCGGTCCTGTATATTGTTTTGCTAATTTAGTGCATGATCATCACTGGTATATTTTTCTTTAATAAACTTAGACATTTTCTGCTTTTTTATGGGAATTACTATTATATATGTCTAGTGTGCTTTATAGAATATGTGATAAAATTCCATCTGTGGAGTCTTTTTGTTGACCAGTCATGTCATATAGATCTGAGTTAGTCGTTGCACAAGTTGATCTCCCTGGAGAATCTCGTGTGGGTATTTTATATAATTTAACGGTCAAACTCATAAATCCTAATTCTTGATATAATAGAAGCTTGGAGAGGTATATCTTGAAGGATGAAGCTACCTAAGTATGTGTATATAAAGTTATAAGTATTGCTTCTGCTTAGATATGGAGGATCTTGTAGAATGGAAATTGTATAACGTGAACTTATCATAGAATTGATTTGATTAGGATCTCATGGATTTCCTGTTCATGACCTATGTCAATATCTTCCCTGCCATTGTATTTTGTATCCCCATTTCTGCCAATGCAAATTGAAGCGTTCCCACTTCCTAGATAATTAGGCATGCAAGATGTGATCTGCATCAATGGGCAGCCTGCCACTTTCATGAAGACGCATTTGTTAATGAAATATGCAGCACAACTGATAAAATAATATATGATTTAAGTTGATCTGAAGAATATCATGTATTTACTGCCTCTGTTCGCCAATTAAAGTTTGCTACTTTTTTTTTTGCAAATTGAAGCATTCCTATATCAGCATTGTGACAAATATGAATTCTTAAATGTACTTCACTTTTCATAGATTGGATGAGGAGTCATTTAGTTAATTTGCATTTAATCATGTGTAAGATTGTCTAAAACAGGTGCCTCTAAATTTAATATTATCTAGTGGAACTCTATGGGAGACAATAAACACCATAATAGTAATATAGCTCTACCTTTTGCTTTATTTATTTATTTTACTATTGTTGGTCCTTGCATCAACTTTATCAGCAAAATTTTGCTATTATTTGTTCCATTTGTATATCATCTGGCTTGTGAATCGCTACCCGCTGTTAGGATGCAGCCATATGTTAGCAGTCAGCCTGGAACATGATTTGTGGTTTGTTTATCAGGCTCCAGAAACTGATGAAGCAAGGAAGAAGTTCTCTAATGCTAAATCTATTTCCTCGGTACAATTTTTTGGTGATCAGAACAGAGTTAATATAGATAGTGAAGTCGCCTTGCAAAAGTTTTCGGTATGTTTTTTGTGTGAAATTCATCACTTAAAATACCTTCTTTATGTTAAATTAAGTCTAGATCATAATCTATTTATTTGTTTACCAACCATGGTAGCTTGTAAGTTGGCTTTTTTAAAGTCATCTTGCAATTCCATTAAAGATTTAATTAAATGGTTGATAACGAAAGCATCGGAAGACATGTTTGCTCTTTCTCTAACAGCTGAAATAGCTGCCTCCAAATCTATTAGGGGCATTTTGGTTTGCGGAATTCGAAGGAATTTGATGGAATTGGAATGACAAATTCCTTTGACCAAATTCTAATTCCTTTGTTTGGTTCATTTCTTGAAATGGATGGAATCCTTCAAATTCCATTGAATTCCATAAATTAATGAATTCTTTTGAGAGATTTCATTCCAATGAAGATAACTGTGACAGGGTGATAACTGTGACGAAGACAGTAGTGACATGGTGGTTGGTACGGTGTGGGCGGGGCGATGGGTGTGATAGTCCAAACAAAGACTATTGTTCCCGTTCTTTTGAGAGATTTCATTCCAATTCCTACCAACCAAATGCGTGGTCAAATTTCATTCCAATTCCTTCAAAGTCAAATTCCTTTGATGGATTCAAATTCCTTTGATGGATTCAAATTCCATTTTGTGAACCAAACACTGCCTTATAGTTTTATCTAACTTCTGTTTAAAGAGTTTCTCTTTTAATCTTAATAAAATCCAACTAGTTTTAACATGTGTTGATATAATCTTTAATGGGGGTGCCTAGGGACAAGTGTAGAGGAATTTCCTATTATTTGCGAGCAAAGATAATCAGGCAAATTGTTGGTTTTAAAAAAAATCATTTTATAGCCTTTCAAGTTGAAATGAATTTGGAAGAGTTTAGTGCATATACTCTAAAAAATTAACAATTTTAATGTTCCATTAGGTCGGCTTGGGCTATATTTGGCAATCTAACTGTTGGCTGATAAGCTAGCAGTAATCATACTTAAAAAAGGGTGACACTCGTCAAATAAGAGTGTGTTTAAAACTGTCTAAAGCAATTAGTATCGTACATTATGTGGCTGTAAATACCCGATTGAAATATATAATTTTGCATGTAGGGATCAGCAGCCATCTCAAGTGCTGATCTCTTTGGTCGTGAGTCGCCTAATTCTAATATCGATCTCAGTGCCAGTGACCTTATCAACCGGCTATCTTTCCAGGTACACTTTTTTTTTCTTTTTGAAGTATATATAGAAAAAGGTGGAAATTTGGAGATTGGAAATCTGATTGATCTGAAAGTTTCAGGCACAACAGGATATATCATCGTTAAAGAACATTGCAGGAGAAACGGGAAAGAAACTGACTACCCTTGCATCGTCTCTAATGAACGACCTTCAAGATAGGATCCTGTGATGCATTTTGTATATGCGTAGGAATAGAGAGAGGTGGTTACGCGCAAATAAGGTCTTGAAATTCTTGAGTCTTTTGATGTTTTTGGGTTGGTATGCATTTTATGTTTGATTGATATTACTATTAGTGATGATGATCCCCACCCACCTTTGTTTATCTCTTAACACAACAAGGGTTTGTCTTTCCACCGCAGTGATTGCGATTGCGGTCTTAATCTAATTAATAAACTAGGATGCAGGAGGTGAGACAACAAAGTAATTTCATGATTAAAATTTGATACAATTGACGTAAAACGACAGAATAAGTATGTGATCGATGTCCCCGTGTGTTGCCTTGGGAGTTGGATGGTATGAAATAGCGATTTACCTTCTTCACGATGGTTGTGAGATTGGTGTGGTGGATAAATCTTTTTATTAGAGTTTATGTGTGTTTGAAAGAGATTTATGTGATTTAAGATGATTTGAATAATGAAATTGATTGTATGATTGTATTTTAGGAAATTAATTAAAATAGCCATTTTAATCGTATGGTTTCATCTCTTAGTCATTTTTAATAGTCATAGGTCTGTGATTGACAGGTCCACAATTTACGGAAGGATCAATGTGTAAGAAAAAAAAAAGTTCTTGAACCAAGGAACCAAATATGTAAATTTGAAATTGGATATATTTTTGCAGACTTCTAACTAATTTACATATTTGACCCCTACAATTGTAGACCTAGTTCAGAAACTTCTCTTTGTTCAGTTTGATTTGTCTGTAAATTGCGGACCTGTCAATTCCCGACCTACAACTATTTTCGGTATTATGGGAAAGAAATGGTTAAGAGGTGAAACTCACAATGAAAAATAGTTATTTTAATTAGTTTCTCTTGTATTTTTGTTATCTGCAGTTGTAATAATTAGATTTTGCTTATTTGAATTTTTTATTATTTAAAAAATAATAAGGAAAACAACAAAGAAATGTGTGTTGTGGAATGCAAGGAAAAGCCTCTCCAAGTTGGGTTAAAAGAAGCTCCAAGACAATAACCCATGTAATTATCTTTTAGTTTTGATTTTTGTAATAAAGACTTGTGTTATCGCTTGCTTAATGCAACAAAGTTACATGTTGTATACAACTGATTATCTTCTAGTTGTCTGAGCATCTCCGACAGATTCGAAGTAAAGATGATTAATCATTTGCTTCTCACGTTCAAAATGGAGACTAAAAGCTAAAATCTCCAAAAAATTTACATTCATCTCCAACAGATTTTTCATTTTTGTAGAATCCAGTATTGATTATATAATATTAAAATATTTTATTCATCTATCAAGGTATTATTTCTCTCTTTAAGAATTTATTTTCAAAGTTTTCTATTGAAGGTCTCATCTGGTAATTAATTATTTTTGGGTGTTCTTCATATTTGGAGAAAAAACTCTTCTCTCTCCTACTTTCTCCATTTTGGAGGTAATTTTTGGGAAGTTGTTGAATCCCCGTATTCTCCATTTTGGAGGAACTGTTAGATATGCTCTTTCAACAAGTCAAATATTATCAGATTATTAAAACTTTAAATATCATATAAACACATTCAAATGTTATCTCATACAACAAGTTTTATTACAAAAAAAAAAACCATCTTATTCTCATTATCTTAAATCATAATCATATCATTTATTTTCAAATTGTACACACTGTAATAAAAATACTTATTAAGCTTATACTTGCACTTTTATAATAACATCAATTACGTCACTTCCATCAAATTCTAACCAAGTTAACTAACATTGACGAAGATGATTAACATTGTGCTCATCAGATTGCTTTGTTCTTCCATATCCTCGTCCCAAGTCAACCCATCCAATTTAATTAATTAGAATGAAACTGCATGAAAATGATGCAAGCGATATGATCATGTGACTATGGGAGTAGTAGTATGTTACTGGTACCAAAACTGGATGGAATGATAAACCTTGTAGTGTTGAGGTCCAAAGAGAGAAATAAAGGTGTGCATCAATACACATCATTATATGAAACAAAAAATGCATACCAAGCCAAACACATAAGACATATAAGAATATGTAGTTTACAAAATAGGATAAATCACCATAGGGATCTCGAAACCCAACCTACTTTTACCCCATGTACCCTCGCTGAACAGTAGGAACAGAGGTATGAGTAGCAGAGTGCACATGTGGGCTAGTTGTCAGAGCATCTACCTCATGTACCCTCGTTGTTTTTCTAGGTATTATTGCACGTGGGTCAGTTCAATGTCCATTAGTATTAGGAATCTTTTCAAGTATGTCATATCCTTCATTATAGGTACTAGATGTGAATGATCTATCCGCACTAGCGTCAAACATTTGTGTTAGGTTTATATTTTATTTGTAATAAAGTAGAGGGACCAAATATGTAAATACCTTCAAGATATATATATATATATATATATATATATATATATATATATATATATATATATAGCTTCCTAATCTCTAGAGTAGGGTTGGGTTCACGTGAGACTAACCTGTTTTTGTGAGAACCGTGAGACCATATTTTTACACTTGAAACTTCATAGCAAAAACACTGTGAAGGTTAAAAAAAAAAGTCGAACATTCACAACAAAAACATTGTGAAGGTTAAAAAAAGTCACTTTCACAACATTTTGCTGTGAAGTTTGTAAAAAAGATGGTCTCACGGGTCTCAAGAAAATAGGCTGGTCTCACATGATCCCAAGTCCTCTAGAGTAGGAACACTTTTTATTATATTATCAGCTTATTATTGAGAAGCGTCGCCAAAGGCAAAACCAGTATTTTGTATTCCATATTTTGAATCAATAGAAGCCGATTGATTTACTACCTCCATTGTGTTAATGTTATATTATTGTTTCTTATATTATTGTTTGCAAAAGTCTCGTCATGGTCCAACATTTGATATTAGGTACAAGATTATTTATGATTGCGTAGGGAGTTTTACCAAATCGTTTGTTGACGATGGACCGATTCTGCGTGAAACAGGCAGTGTCGACCGCTTCTGCCCAAAGGTAGAGTGGTGAGGTAGGTCTAGGTAGTGAGAAAGAAAAAGAAAATGAGGGGGGTGTAGAAGGAGGCGCCTCTGGTTCTGCTTCAGAGACTTCTGACGATGAAGATGATTCATCGGATGATGGAGAGCCAATTGTCATTGACTTCTCATCGTCTTCAGGTGATTCTGACTCTTGGGACGATGATGATACACCCGATGACGCCAAACACCTACCAACTCACATCGGTGTCATGCCTGAAATTACGGAGTCTAGCACATGTTTTTATTGAATGTAGTTTTAAAATGTGTATCAAATAAAAAAAATTAATACAATTATTATTTATTTTTTTAAAAATATAATCTAAAATTTGTCGTAATGAAATAAATAACCAATTAACAAACACACATATTGTTTTATTTATCTGAATTTTGTGTAAGGATTTGGAATTGGAAATGTTTGGAATTTTTACAGTATTTGATTTATAGTTTGAAATAGAATCGAATATCATTCTCTATAAATAATATATTAAAATAAATTATAAAAATAATTAAATTTCACGAAATACTAAGTACCCCATGGGAATTTTAATTCCCATGTTTGTAAGATTTTATTGAAGTCTCGAGATTTTATTTCCGAACTTTCCTTTGAACCAAACACAGAACTGGAATTGAATCTGATTCCAATTCCATGTTTGCTTTAAATGATTTACTGGATTTTTAAATAATTAGATTGCATTAAAATCTCACCACCACACATTTTTATTATTTTTTTTATATTACACTTAAAAAAATGTTTGGCTGTTAATTGGTTACTCATTTCTCATTACGATAGATTTAAGTTTATATTTTAAAAGAACTAATAATTGTATTATAAAGTTTTTTATTTGATACACATTTAAGAAACATGTAATTAAATGAAATGTCTAAAAATAATATATTTTTTTATTAATAGATATAGATAATTTTGATTTTTATATTATATAAAATAAGAAAAAAAAATATAAAAAATTTAAACACAGCTTAAAAAGAAAAGTTTTTTTTTTTAAATTAATGTAAACAGATATATATATATCAGAAAAATTGTATAAGAATTTAAAAATATTAAATATTTAACTTATTTTAAAGATATCAATAAGTTTTTTTAATAGTATAATTCATAAAATAAATTATGTATTTTTAATATATTGTAAATTAAAATTATTATTAATTAATTAATATGATAAGAGTATAAAATGGAAAGTTAAAAAAAAGTGGGAAAAAAAAAAAAAAGAAACAAACCACATGCACTAAAATTGTAATTTATTGTATGATCCAATAAAACAGAAAACGAAAAAGACAGTATCAAAATATTCTTAAATTAACTAAGGGGTCATTTACTAAATACTTATCGGGTAAGTGTTTACGGATAAAATATAACATTATTACTTACTTAATGGGTAAGATTTTAGTCCATCAATGCGGTATTGTATGCAACAATTTACCCGGTAAGCACTTATCGGTAAAATCTAATATTATCATTTACTTAACGGGTAATATTTTAGTCTACTAATGCGGCATCGTATGCAACAATTTACCCGGTAAGCGCTAACCGTGCTAAGAGTTGTCATCCTCACTTACTAGGTAAGACTCTCGGTCCCTGACTTTGCCCTTACCGGGTAAGATTCTTGGTCTTCATCATATTCCTCCGATAAGATAATGTGACTTGATAAATACTTATCTGGTTAAGTGTTTGGTAAGCAAAATTAAAACAAAATAACAATCACAATGATAAAACTGTAATTGGTTTGAAAGTGGGGTACCAAAAATGTAATTTACTCTTTAATTAATATTTTCCTGACAGTTGAGAGTCAATGACGTGTCTCCCGCCCCTCTGACTCGAAACTGAGTGCTAATATTTTGAAATGGCGGCTGAATTTTCCCTCGAATTTTAAAAATCCCCAAAATGGTTGTTACCAATTTCAAACCCTAATTCTAAATTCTTCCATGTCAGAATCCGTTGATTTCTACCCAACTAATGTGATTGAATCTTCGAGTTCTGCCGGGAGTATGCCTCTTCCGCCTCCGCTTACACAAACCCTAGATCAAGACTTGAGCTTTTGCCGCCAGAAAGTGGATGATCACGCTGGTGCACGTAAACGTGTGTTGTTTGATGAAATGGCACAACGACCATTGGAGACCAATCTAACGGAATCAGGATCACATCCCGATGAAGAACACATCGAGCCATCAGGATTTCCCGAAGGATTTGAGGAACTATTATTATCTTCTTTGACTGGTGAAGATAATGTTATTTCACAGCCGTCAGGTCCTTTCATCGTCGATGATGATACTAATAATCATGTAGACGAGACCAAAGAGTGGATTTCGTATGATCGAAGTGATACTGAGGTCGACAAACCGTTGCATTTAGTTGCGTCGGGTTCTTCGAGTTGGTACAACGAGGTTAAGAGGCCGCCATTGGTGGTATGTCCGTTTCTAACTCCGACCCATGAGAATCACAATATTTACAATTTGGATCAGTACGACTACATTCATTTGAACTCCAAGTTTTGCAGGGTGCAGGGCTTGTCAATCTGGGGAATACTTGCTTTCTTAATGCTGTTCTTCAGTGCTTCACCCACACCGTTTCACTTATTCAGGGCCTCTATTCATATTCTCATGCGACGCCTTGTGATTGTAAGTCCTTCAGCCTGACTTCTTCATGTTCTTCTTCAGTAGTGGTTTAATTTTTTTTAACCATTTGACATGTAGTTTTGCTGCTAAATAACTAGTATATGTTAAAATGCAAGAACACTAAAATATTCAAAAGTGATTGTTCCTTAAGCAATTTATAATGGTCATTGTACTGCAAACCTACAAGAGTGATGGATAAGTCGCTCCTTCCAGCTTACTTTAGTGTTCTTTTTGCTTTTTAGGAGGTCCAATAGTTGGTTTGTGATAAAACTAGAATTACGATGGTTGGGAAAATCATTCACTCTTTTCTTCAAGTTGGTTTATTTGGCATGCCATGGCAGTTATATCAATTATGTAGACATGAGAATGCCTGTTTATGGATGTAGTATGTCACTTTACCATATGTGGCCAATGGTTTGAAAGTGAAAATTTGCAGGTAACAATGAGCGGTTCTGCTTGTTCTGTGCTTTGTGGGAGCACATCGATCTTTCATTATTGTCCATGAGAAAAATAGTCTCCCCGCTGAAATTTGTTGACAATTTGGGCTGTATCCTTTGGGTTTTTGCAAGTTAAATGTTGTTTTATGATACTAATTGCATTTTCTCCCTTGTTCTTCTAGTACATATGTAATCCTTTGACTTCTGAACTATAAGATTTCTCATCTTCATTCCAGAGATATCAACAAGAAGATGCTCATGAATTTCTGCAATGCTTTCTGGATAGATTGGAAAGTTCTTGTAGCTTTTTAAAGGCAAAGGATGTTCGTTTTTCCTCACAAAATGATAATTTAGCTAAGCAAGTTTTTGGTGGTCGTGTTGTTAGCAAAGTAAGAATTCAGTGAGTGATAAATTTTCTCATATTTTAAATTTCATTACAAGAATTATAACCGAGCTTTTTCCTATTGGTATCTGAATTTTCAGCTAAGGTGTTGCAACTGCAATCACTGTTCTGACACTTATGAGCCTTCAGTTGACCTGAGTTTGGAGATAGAGGATGCAAATAATATTTCAACAGCTCTTGAGTCATTTACGAAAGTTGAGCACCTTGGAGATGAAGAGATAAAGTTTACATGTGAGAATTGTAACCAGAAGGTGTCTGTTGATAAGCAGCTTGTGCTGGATCAGACCCCTTCCGTGTGCACTTTACATTTAAAGAGATTCAAGAACGATGGCTGTTATGTAGAGAAAATAGATAAGCATGTGGAGTTTCCTCTGGAGTTGGACTTGCAACCTTACACTTACAACAGTCAAGCTTCTAATGTGAGTAATTTCTTGTAAATATAGTTGCTGGTATTATTTATATTTTGTCAATGGTTCAAATGCAAAGCATATCAAAGAACTCAACATCTATTAACCGCATGCAATTCTTGGGTGCTACCATTAGCTTAGCGATTGTTCTAACAAATGCGGGAACAATGGCATAGCTTAGCTCGGCGTTAGTGTTCAAGATGCATTTTCAGTTCTATTGGTAATTACTGAGTTTGGCTTTTGAAAATAATTTTAAACCTGTGTCATTTCTGTAAAAATATATGGAATCTCACTTGCTTACCTACTTTCTTTTCATTCAGGTGGATCTGAAATATGACCTATATGCAGTAGTTGTACATGCGACATTTACATCTACATGTGGTCATTATTATTGTTACATTCGTTCTGCACCTGACACATGGAACAAGTTTGATGATTCAAAGGTAAACTATGATATTTGAATCTTGTTCTTTGTTCTTTGACAGTGTGTTTGGTAGTAGGGACAGGACAACATATGACAGGTTAAAAAACTTGTTGTACCATATTTGACGACATTTGTACCGGTAGCAGATGGAACTGAGTGCCAGCCACCAAAATAGGTGGAACAAGAATTAGGGAGCAGTTAAAAGATTGGTAAATTATTACACTACCTATGTCAAATTAAAACTTACACCTTCCGCAATTCTCTTACTCGCCTGCCTCACATCTGGCACATCCAGTTCTGTTCAGTCATGTTCACACCTGATGGTTCATCTTGACATGTATATTTCAAGAATTTTGGTCATTTGGTCTTTTGCTTTAAAAATTTGGTATATTTCAAGATTTTTTGTTTTATTTTGTTAAATCAATATGCTTCCTTACGACACAGCTGATTATTTTGAATTGGAATTTAAGTAATGATTACCATCTATAGGTTACAAAGGTCTCCGAAGGACATGTGCTCTCAGAGGAAGCATACATTCTCTTCTACGCAAGGCAGGGCACACCTTCATTATCAAACTTCATGGAAACATATAAGTTGTCCATGGATCGACCTTTATCCAATAATTCACCCAAATCAGTATTGGACAACGTGGATCATCATTGCGCATCTCCATATGCATCAAATTACCATTCTCATAGCATCATTGATACGCGCAAAGCTGGCCATTCTCCAGAATCTTTTGATAGATCAAAATATGAGAGAGTCGAGGCTACTGGATCTAAAGATCCTCCACAAACTTACACACCAATTCCACTTGAGGCAAGCAATTCCTCTGCTCCACCTGCTTTTAAAGAGTGCATCTATAGCCATAGGCTAGAAGTTCGAAGCAATGTTGGTATGAGACAGGACAGGTGTGAGGTTACTGGTTCAAAAGATGATCAAGATGGAGTTTTCACTGCACCACTTCCCAGACCAAGCTATCCGTCTGAAGGAAAAACCATGTTTGATATTGACAATGTATCCTCTCCATCAACACCACTAAGATCTCCTGGCATTGATGTTTCTGATGACAAGGATTCAGGTAATTTAAACTGCTGATTTTGTTCTAAAATCACTGCTTTCCTTTTCTTTCTATCATATTGCAAAAGTATTTTGCCCAAAAATTATGGTTTTATTTAATGACCTTTTTTAACCAAAACCCAAATTAAACTAAAATAAACCACCCATCTGGAGGTGGGGTGTATCTAGACCTGAGAAGAGTAGAGCGGTTGTTTTTGTGAATACCTCTGACTTGTGCAAAGTGTGCAATGACCCCTTTTAACCGTTTTTGGCTATTCAAATCTTATAAAAAAGTTGTGTTATTGTAAATATTTTGAAGTCATACAACTAACTCGACAAACTGTGTTGTGCTACACAGAAGTGGTTTTTGCACCCAAGTTGGAGCAATTAAAATTGGTGGAGAGAACGCTTTGTAAAAGGCCACGAAACAAGGATGTCGTTGATGATACAGCAAAACGAGAAGCTTTGAAACAGTGCAGGAAGATGCCTGGGGCAAGAGGAAGCTTATTAATGGCTGCACTGGATGCATCTTTGAAGAATGAAGGTTCAGTGCACAAAAGAAGCAAGAAAATAGTATCATCCCCAAGGAAGAACGGTAAGCACACGAAACATCATCGCAAATTAATCTCACGTAAATTGACTACTTCTAGTTTTTGGTAATGGGATTTAGGAAAATAGGATGAGTACATACAACTTAAATGTTTTGAGTTAGATTTTTGTTGATTTTCTCACTGTGTGGGGGATCTATTGAGGTCTTCAAGTAAAACCTTGCTGTTCATACTAGTCTTTCAGAAATCTGGGTATCCTTTAAAATTTGGAGTAATGAACAAGTGTTTGGAAGGCATACCAACAAGTTGCATAGTACAAATGGTTTTGGTTAGGGTGCTCATTTCTGCACTGCAATAAACTGTGCAGTTTAGAACTTTTACAGTGCGGTTTACGGTTTGTATCTTTCTTCATTCCAAACTGCAATAAACTGTGCAGTTTAGAACTTTATACGGTTTTTATGGTATTTATACTCGAATGAAGCACGTAAGGTGTTGTAGGAGAAAAAGAGTTTGCAAAACACATGCATTTCGTTACCAAAGAGCAAGTATGAGTGAGCTATCGAGGGGAGTTTGTTAGTCATATTTATGAACTTACTTTCTAGTGTTTTTTAAATATTCTACGGGAGTTGATTTTAATTAAAAACTCATTTAAGGTAATTTACCAAAATGACCCTTGTTTAACATTAGGAGCTAAGAGAGTTCATTTAAGTAGAACTATTTAAGCATATAACCTTAAATGAGATTTCAATTAATCCATGACCTTCTTATGAGTATGAGCCTATTTATTTATTTGAATTCAATTAATCCATGACCTTCTTATGAGTATGAGCCTATTTATTTATTTGAATTCAATTAATCCATGACCTTCTTATGAGTATGAGCCTATTTATTTATTTGAATAGGTCAGGAGGTCATGAATTTAATTAAAAACTCATGATTTTTGACCTATTAAAGAAAAATGGCTAACACACTAATGAAAAAGTCATGAATTTAATTAAAATTTCATATAAGGTTATATGCTCGAACGTGGTTGGGTTTTCATGAGAATGAAAGTTATACTGAGAAGGGATCTCCGCCATTGGATCAATCCTAATTGAAGAGAAACACTAGATCAAAACTCATGAAATACACTAGATCAATTCCTTTCTAAAGCGCAATGAGTTGGTTTGAGATTAGAAGTGATCAATGGTCCAAATCCCTTATTACACTTTTCACCTTAACTTCCATTCACACAGTCCTTCGCCTATCCAAATATATCGAGACCGTTCCCCCTCCAGTTATGATATGACTAGAATCAATGTCAAAGCATAGCGTTGACACATAACAAACTCTGACTTTAAGTCAAAAGGATTACATGCATAATGACAACTTAAGATATACTTATGACATTCAATGGAGTATTCTTATACCAAATCACATCCAGTTCAAAGATCCTCATCTATAGATTCCATATATCTATATGAATCCTTACATATGGTAATCATTACTGTATAACTCCAATAAGAACTCAAAGGTAATATTTTAGAAGACAATATTTTGTAATTATCATTGTTATGTTTAAATTTAAAGGAACCATAGATTATAACACTAACAAAGAATTCATTTTCCCTTAAATTGTTTTCCTTTCTAAGCGGATACTAGTTGACAAAGTATTGAATGGTAGTATCTATACAATGAAACACTATAACATCGGGTTCAGAGATGGTCAAAATGTCTAAATCATCTCAAAGTGAAAGGGGATGAAATGGGTGGAATAAAATGAAGGAAAACTCTAAAAGTCGAGCCTAAAAATCGTCGTGGAGGCTTTATGCAATCAAGGCCGCATGCCAGGTCGCCTGGGCACAAAATCACAACCAAACTTCATATATGCGACCCAAGTCGCATGCCTGGTCGCCTAACTCCGTGTCTCAGGATTCCAGCTTCATATTGACACTCTAGTAAGTTAGGCGACTTTGGCTACAACCCAAGTCGCACACCAAATCACGAGGATCCTTTTGATGCCCGAGTATCCTCGTTTTCATTGTTCTTTTGACCCCGAAACAACCCAAAGCAAATAAACACGATTAAACCCCAATAACTCGACATTAATACATTAAATGTAATTTGATTAACTCGTAGTTACATTTAAAGAAAATACGGGTATTACATATTTAATGATTGAATTTGAAAGAATCATGAAGTGGCTATGTCTTTTATGTTTAAATTGCCATTTATAGTGCATTAAGACTATTGTAGTCAATGGGATTGGTGGTACAAATAAAATGACATCCAATGGTTTAGATTAGAATAAGTCACTGTTGTTGAAACAGGGCAGAAAGTCCCAAAAATTGTTAATAGCCTGTTGGTCTAATTGAGGTGTGAAAGACATTGATGGAAATATTCATGTGTCTATTACAACTTTGTAGTTTACATCGAGACATGGCTCTAAGAGGCTTAAAAAAGTGAATTTCCAAAGTTGATTCCGTGAAAAACGGGATTTGCACACCGTCTTTAGAAAATTTCTATTCAAACTCTAATATGTATGTATTTGGAATGTGAATACAAATGTGGTAACGAATTATCGTTTTATTTGAAGGTAACTCGGGGTACTGTGAACTATCCCTACGACATCCATAACTCGTGTCAAATGATGTACTATTATCTAAGGTACGTATTTCTACCTCGTTTGATACTTGGGCACATTTTTGCTTATGCGTGTCTACTCCTTTGGAACATGGTACACCATGAATCATCTACTATGTAGGTGAGGTCCATAATTACATGTTGATATGTTTGGATCATTAATGATCATTGATTTTTTATATTTGATTGAAGTGAAAACCTTTCTAGATTTTAACCACAAGGGTGGTGCCTGATTGGTTTGAGCTTGACTCCAAAGGTCAAAAGTACCAGGAGGTCTTAGGTTCAAATCCAAGGAGGAAAAAAATCCATTTGTGGCCACAGAGGTTCAAATGCGGTGACTTCGTGCTATCTGCAAAGCAAGTGGTCGCCATGGGATTGGTCGGCTCGCATAGCGAGTTGGATATTCAGGTTTATAAAAAAAATCCTTTCTAGATTTTGATTATGATTATTCAAATTTGGTCAGATAACGGTCATATTATGTTTTTGCAATGTGATTTAATAATGTTGATATATACGATGCTTATGACAATATGATATTCGAATGAATTGGTTTGGCATACATAACCAAGCCTTTAAAAGAACTTTATGATGTCAATACAAGGTTACATTCGTTATAGACCTCTGTTTTATGATTTCATGTTCTAGTTAATACACTCGACTATTAGGGCATCAAGGTCGAGATGCTTTCACGATGGCTTTATTATCATGATGTTCTCATAAGATTAGACACATAAAGGTTTGGACAGATACCGGCCATTAGAGGGTGGATTGGTCCTAGTTACCCAATAACCGGTCTCGATTATTCACGACAGGGGCTAGATTGTGTGTGCCCTCACTCTACCCCGCTCGAGTCAAATAGTCTGATCAACTCTTGAGATTGACGTATCATATGTTATACGGTTTGGAGGTCATTATGTGAACCTGTACTTGATAGACCTTTGTGGTCTTCATTCAATCCTTTGTTTGTTTTTGTTACAAGGTATTGATGTTTTAATTTTTATTTCACTTATGCATCCTTATTTATTATTTACATTATATAATTTATCCACTAGGCAACTCGCTCAGCCGTGTTTTCTTTATACGACAGATTTATAATATCCAAATTAGGGGTGCTCAAAATACCGACCAATCTGGCCAACCCAACCTGAAAAAACCTAAAAAAAACTCAAGTGGAGGTAACCCGACACATATTTGATACAAAATTAGGTCAAACGGCATCTATCGGGTTGGAAATGGGTTAGGGTAATTTGAACCAAATACAACCCGATAAACCCGATGCCTTTTATATTATGAATTTAAAATGATTATTAAGTTATTGATTAATATATGTACAATAGACATTAGACTAACTCGTAATTAGCTATGTTCAAAATTATATTACAATTTCAACCATAATTTTACTTTCTTATTCGACATGAACATTCAATTTTTTTTTAGTTTCTTAGCGTTTTTTGTATGTTCTTATTTTTGTTTTACTTCTTCTAAACACAAACGATTAGATAGATTGTAAAAATGATATACCAAAGTTTCAGCACGACCAACCCGTACGGTTTGGTTTGGTTTGGTTTGGTTTGGGTTGTAGTTTTGATTGGGTTGAGTTGAGATGTTTCAAACTGCATTCATTAGGTTGAGTTGTTCAAATGCCTTCAACCCGATCAACCCAACCCATTTGCAACCCTAATCCAAATGGAGGATGTGGAATGATAGTGAAGATGACAACTATGTTTGATCTCTACTGTTGAAGATATTATCTTTTGACTCGAGTTTTGGAAACATCGTTTTAGTACTAGCTTTTGTAATCTTCTATTACAGCTTGTCATCTTAGAGGATCGTAAAATTAATGTTTTGTGGTTACTACTAGCTCTATATTATGTATTTGATTGCGGTGGATTACTTTTGTGAATTTATGTTCCCTAAATTGTGACATCGTCCGTCTTGGCACTCTCATGACCTTAGACAACTGCTACGAGGAGTTATCGTAGTCTAGAAGACGTGTCTCACACCATGACGCACCCTTTAGAAGCATACTTGGTACCAAGGTGAAGGCAAAGACTGAAAGCTTCAAGGTTAAAAAGTTATGGGAAGTTACCTTTAAAGGAATTAAGGCAACAAGCAACATTCATAGATAAAACATAAAAAATGAGTATTTTCAACAGACAATCCAAAAAGAGCGATGAACATTACAAGGATAAAATTTGTAATTTGCTCAAAACACTTATCTTTTATACATATATATATACATACACACACACACACACACACACACACATATATATATATATATATAGACTTGGGATCACGTGAGACCGGCCTGTTTTCGTGAGACCTGTGAGACCAGCTTTTTACACTTGAAACTTCACAGCACAATGCTGTGAAGGTAACCTTCACAGTGTTTTTGCTGTGAAGATTCGACTTTTTTAAAACTTCAGTGTTTTTGCTGTGAAGTTTCAAGTGTAAAAATGTGGTCTCACGGGTCTCACGAAAAACACTTGGTCTCA